AGCTGGAGGACCAGGTTTGTGTTACAGCTGTTGACAGCTTATGTTTTTCAGTAAGTCATGCAGCAGCAGAGGAGTGCTGCTTTCCCATTCCCACCGTACCGCTGAGCCACTGCTGCAAGGGTGACAATGTGTAACAATGGAGGTTGAAAAGATAAAGCTGAAGTTGACACGAAAAGCGTGTGACAAAGAAGCCCAACAACTGAGATACCCATAGCTGAAAAATCTGTGAGAAAGTTGTTCAGCACCTGGCTGATACTCAAAGGCAGTTACAGTATTCTTTTTCTTGAAGAAGGTTGGTAAGCACTGCTCAATAAATCCCAATGGCAGGCCTGTAATAAAGTGGAGCTTATGCAAGTTGGCACGGTTTGAAATTTCACCATATGTTCTAGTTCAGTTAAGATGTATTTCTGTTGCTTTATGCTTTTTGCATCCTTGATCTGCAAGAGTGATGAATAGGGCATGATCTCTTGCAGTTAGCGTAGCAGTGACAGATGCATTACGCTCCTGTGGTGCAAATACCTGCAGTAAGACACCTGAACACCTGCAATTAGAAATGCAAGGATTGTTCTTATTGAGCAGTCCAAAATCAAGCAACACTGCTGATTTTCTAGTGAGTTCACAAGCTTTGTAGCCAGCCAAGAAGCATGCAGCAAAGTGAAGCATTTTCAACATTACTCATACTATTTGCAGCTTTTCTAGATCATCACTTCACCTAAAAATGTATGGAAACCCAGGCTTGGGGTTCCCACAGCACAGAATTGACATGTTCATTTGGACCTTGCCAGCTTGATTAACATGGCTGTATTTCCTACTACCTGGAGCTCCTGAAAGCTCTTTGTTAAGCATAATGCATTACAGTAATCCAATTTAGATGTGACAAAAATCGTGTTCTTCTGCCAAGGCATCTACTGCACTGAAAACTGTCATTCCCAAAGTAAGGGTCACAGCCTTCAGTGGGGCTGCCAGCCTAACAGTGGTGTAATTATCTAAGCTAGTGTAATGAGGCTGATGAGAGTGGGACTTAACTGCCAGAAACAGGCTGAGGAGATTTTTAGGGGGTAACTAGACTACTCTGAACAGGAACACTTGCTCTCCAAATACTGTTTTGCACTTCAGAGCAGCTTTTTGGAGGATGAGAAAATTAATGTTTTCAAATGTATTCTATTTATGTGTCTCTGAATCTGCTAAATTTTAGTTCAGATTAATATTTTCTTCAGGTCCTGTGATAAATATGGTAAGTATTAGAAAAAATGTGTAGGCTCCTAATTAGTTTCCAATGATTCATTCAGACAGCATATTTATAGATAGGGGGAAGAAAGGGCAGGGGGAGGAAGGGAGCACGAGAGAGAGAAGATTCTTTGGAACACATGCTGCCCATTTTACCCAGTAGCCAGAAAAATTTTGCGGTACATAATTATATTATTTTGTTCATGAAGAGCTTGGTACTGGAACTAAGTTTCTTAGCCTGCCTCCTACCCTCTAGTGCTAGTATCCTTACTACATTTTTAAGTTAAACGGTGTTGTTCCCCCTTGGATTCTGAACAGCAGTTAGAGAAATCTCATTTGTAGATAAGTAATGGGCATTTGTTCTCCCTTTTATCTTTTACTTCTCTGTTCAATGTCCGTATCACTGAGCACAGGAAGAGCTGACATAATTTACTATTTCAATTTTTAGAAATTAGTAACTTCAGTAGTGTTGGAGTTCAGGTATTCCTTTATTCAGAGGGAGTCAAATTGTCCATTATAATGCCAGACACCATGTGGTAAATTATAAATTAAATGGTGATCCTGGAATGCACAGACATCACCTGTGACTGTGACTGCAGGCTCAGTGAGGTCTCTGTGACATACATGCAATTAAACCTGTACATTGTCTCTGAATAAAATTAAGAGTACTAAAGCAAATTTCAGCATGAGTATTGCCCCACACTTTTTTAGATTATGTTAGCAATCTCTTATCACACACTGGATTCGTAATCACTGTCAACTCACTTTCCTTTTCAATAAAGAACAGTGATGTTATGCAATGTTACTATGTAGAACATGCCCTGGTTTTTTTAGTCCTATTTTAAGAACGTACATCTGAGTAAAACTACATTTTTGGTGATGCTAAGTCTTCCCCCAGCAGTTAACATTTTGTCTATATTTATGTGACATGACTTTATGCTTTATAGTTTTGGCAGAAGGAGGAATGATTTTCTTCACATTTTTCATATGGTGAGGAATTTACAGGAGCTAGTTTAGCAATAGCAAGCAGAGGAGGCTTTGATTTGTTTACTTAACATATGTGTCACATATAAAAGGCAATGTCCTTCCACTGTAGTTGTTAATAACTAGCTGTTCCAAATGGATTTGTGCCAACACAAAATCCACCACCACAATTAGCAGTAATAGGAATTTCAGCTGGCAGCAGCAATGAAGGCAGTAAAGATTAAATGACTGTGTGAACTGTCCCTCCGAATTAACACTGATGTACATTGGCAAATAGTAAGAAAACTCACACCACTGTTACTCTTTGCTCTGTTCTACTCTGGTAATAATTAAGGGAAAATACAGCTGTCTGCGACTCAGTAGTTCTCACATGGTGTAGATTCACCCCAGTAACAACAAGCATCCAAGTATCCACACCAGTAAAACGTCCCAGATTACAAAACCCTTACAGATGACTTTCAGATGCTTCAGGATACAAATAACCTTTCAAAGAAGGTTGGTTTTGAGAGGTATTTGTCAGTTATGTGCCTATTACTGACTTCTAGCTGGTGATGCACATATATTTCCAAAAGGCCTACGTGAAAATTCCACTAAATGACATCCAAGAAGTTAATTTTTTTTTTCAGAATAGAAAATCTTCGAGGAGCTACAGAATCTCAGCAATATAGCATTCATGGTAATACCTCTACAGCATAAAATACGAACTTGGCCTGGAGCAGGTTGTCAGAGATGCAATAATAACAAACCCTCCCGCTTCTCATGAACCATGGCTTAATTATGCTAATCCTTGTACAATCAAATGAATGAAAAAAATAGTAGAATGAGGATTTGAATAATTATTTTACAGTATTAACTGATAGAATACATTATAGATGAGCCCAAGTTTCTTTAGAGTGATTCAGCTTGTTGTCTCAGTGTCTTGTATGACATACTTTCAAAATACAAATTATTTTCCACACTTTAAATGAACCTCTAGCAATGTGCTAGAGCACCTCAGAAATATTTTAGGCTTAAGAGTTGTCCAAACCTAACCTTTGAATTCAGGAACACAGTAAAGCATCAGATTTGTAGGTCAGGGTGTGCGAAAAGCACAGCTGTTAACCATGACCTTGAAGAGGCTTTGCAGCTGCAGTTACGGTGCAGCATTAGGAATGACACATCTTCATAACATTTTGTACTTTGTGAAATGCCATATCTTAACCTATGGGTTTGCAGGACAGCATATGATTCCTTGTATTTGCTATGGACAGAATTAAATCTCACAAGTCAATCTGAGATGTCAGTCCTTTCCTGGTCATTCTGAAAGCATCTGAAACACAGAAGCTTTGCAGATGCACAGGAAGCACCATGTAATTTTATCAGTAACTTTAGCATGTACATGAATAGGTACATGCCAAATTTATGCAGATGAATTCAAGTATCTTTGCTGTAGAATTTTCAGGAATAGCGCAATTGCTTTGGTGTTGACACTTAAAAGCTTCCATGGAAATAGATGCCTGGTGCCATGCTCTGGCACTGATTAGACATTCCAGTGATAACAGTTTGCCAGGAAGCAAGGCTAGCAAAAAAAAAAAAAAAAAAAAGAAAAGCTAAATCCAGTTCAAATTTATCATCAGGTAAATGTGAGTTTTGGCAGCAGGACAGAATTATTCACGTTAGACTTCACTCGGGACTCACAGTGAACCCCTCTCTTCATAAGAAAGGTGACCCGTTACCAGCAACATAGGCTAAACTGTGCATCTAACCAGGTAGGTCCACCAGTAGCACATCAGGAGACACTAATTCTACCATGTATTACCTATGTAAATCAGATGCAATTTTCCCCAGTATTTACTGTTTCCTGATTTCCCAGTGCTAACTGCCCAAGCATTGGGTTAAGCCAGTGGAGAAGTGGTTGTTGGATCTTGGGGAAGCAATACATAAGGTGTAACAGCTGATGCAATGTGCCTGCTGTATGGGACAGGTCAGCCCCTATAAAATCATAGGCAAATAGAACTCTCTGAAGAACTGGGCATGGACAGTAGAAAGAGACAAGAAAGCACGTTTTATGTTTTTTGAGAAGTTTATGTATTAAAGAGAATGCATCCTATGAAAAGGCATTTATAAAGCAAATACAGCAAGTCCAACTTCTTCACTGAGACATGATTGCTTTTCAACTTCATGAATAGCAAGTAGGGAAAAATCATGGACACACATTAATTATAATACAGTAAAATGAACATGAAAACTTTAACAACACTGAAGGCCACTGTACACCACAACTACAACTGTAGCCTACAATTGTTTCAAGCAGCCTTGCCAGTCTGCTTTGACCTTTTTGAAACCACAAGAAGGTTATCTACAGACTTGGGAGTAGGTAAGTATACTGCTCCCAGGGAAGGAAAAAATCCCCAAAATGTAACCCAAATCCCCACATTTGGTTATTGGCTATAATACAATACCATCAACTCAGGAGAAGACTTAGAACACAGAACATTACAGGCTTTTTTTATCAATATAGACACCAGACATTTAACTAACTCAAGGCATTATATACAGTCCTGTTCCTGCCAGAGCTGAGAACCAGACTGAAGGCACCCCTTCCCACTATGAGCTGTTGAAGTAGAGTATTCATAAAAGCAGGGTTTATATCTTAAAGAAGCTGTCCATTAAAGAAAAGGACACAGGTATTCCAAATTCATCTTGTTCCAGAACTTTCACATGTAAATCTGTGCATAATGTTTTGTACGGTGAAAAAAATCAGTATAAAAATACTGCTGTCTTTTATCCATACTGTGAGAAAAGCACAATTTTTAACAGGAAATAATACTTTATTATAAAATTTACATGTAAACAAGTAACAAATTAATTGAAGAATGGTTAATGTAAGTGCAAATTAACTTCATAAAATGGTATCTGTTCTGTATTTAAATATATATAATTTGTTTTGTCACATTCTAAAGTGGTTCTACTCCACCATCCCCAAATTTCAGTTTAAAAAGATTTATCATTGCTTGCTTTATACTAAAAAGAGTGTACGAGCCTGCGTACAAGTTTTAAGTTTTGCTCTGCAAACAAGACACATCTATGGTGATACTTATCATCCTTTCTTAACATCTGATATCCACAGGACAAGAAGATATATAACATATATACACAGTGAAAACGTGGGCATGTCAAGCCACTTAAGTTTAGTTCATTTGCTTGCACAAATTGAAACTTAAACCATTTATCAATGAAGCAGACACTGTACTGTAACTTCCAGACTTGCTTGCACACCTTAAGGCATTAACGAGAGTCTCAATTGATAAGTCATTCTTGTTATCACCATGAGGATCATCTGTACAGTTCTTGTAACAGTCAATTGCTTGTTCATCACCCACATGCAACAAGCTGGCCTTTCTGAAAGCTCCTAAAGCACAGACAAGTCATGGCAAGACTTTGATTTTGCTTTGAAAGCCATCTTCTTGTTGTTCTTTGCCACAATTCTCCCTAGGAATCGTCTTGCCTTTTTGCCTATGCTTTCTCTTCTTTTTGTGTTGGCCATTCTCCGAGCGTTGTCTTCTTTGCTGTCTTTGCGAAGTCTAATCTGCCGAACAATACCTTCAAAAAGGTCCTTGACATTATGATGAAGAGCAGCTGAGGTCTCAATGAATTTGCAGTCAAACACAACGGCACAGGCCCGTCCCTCTGAATGGAAAAAGAAATAGAGATAAGTAGAGATGGTGATTTTGCCTTTATATATACTGGCAGAATAAAAAACAAAACAAAATTTGACTTTAAGTAAAGAAAGTGCCTTCAATGCCACAGAAGAGCTTTACTACGTTGTAGGAAAGTCCAATTTTGTGCTCATGTTTTTGCCCTCTTACTCTTCTCAGGTTTGCTGTGGTATAGTCAGGAATCTCATTTGACCAATGGCACTGAATATAAGGCAATACTAGTCCTCTAGGCAGAGCATCCCAGTCTTGTTTAAGAGCTAAAGCTGGTATAGGATTGGCACTTGGATGCACGCTTACAGTTTGATAGCAAGAGTGCGAGGTACAGAAAGAAATGGGCTTTACTGCTACTGGAAGTCACTGAGCTACTATGAACCTCTGCCTTGCTGTAATAATTGAGTTTTCCACACTAGCTACAAATGAAGCAGTTGAAGTCCACAAGTCAAGTCATTGAACATACCAATAGATGTTAGGAAGTTGTACACCACTGGATTTGACTAGGACTGCATTGAAAACACAAGATGCTCAATGTTCCAGATGTAAGCACGTAACTCTGGAACATTGCAGTAACCCATATCCAACTGGTGGTAAGTAGTGGCAAAGTTGTAAGCTTGAGCAAAATACTTATGTTGCAGCTAGGACAGGTTAAGCATGCACTGCCACCAGCCTGAAAAAAGTGACCATCCGATGAACTTCAGTCAGTCCCCTGTGTGCAGGCATTTAACACAGGGAGCATAACAAAAACAGATCACCACACTCGCCACTGTTTTCTGTGGGACCGAGTCTCTCCCTGCATGAGCCAGCTGGCTTGATTTTTCCAGCATGCCTCAAATAATTTGTTTTTCTACATTAAAACCAGACCATTTCTATTAACCGTGATCCTTCACACCCTTTGCTACTACTGTAGCCACAACTGTGCACGTGAATGGTGTCACTTACCATCAACCGAGACTTCCCGGGATCTGACCAGGTCGCTTTTATTGCCCACAAGAATAATAGGAATGTCTTCTGTTTGCCTTGCTCTTCTTAGCTGGATTCTTAGCTCAGAGGCCTTTTCAAAGCTAACTTTGTCTGTCACTGAGTATACAATAATATAGGCATCTCCCATCTTCATACAGTGGTTCTGAAGCCACTGGCTGTCATCCTAAAACAAAAGGCAAGAAATAGATTTATTGCACTGAAAGTCTATTCAACATTGTTTTAATTATTGTAAGCACCTTAAAGGTATTTTTCTTAGCTTTATTATAAAGAGTTAGTGAAAGTAAGCCAACCTCCCAATTTTTAAAAAACATTTAAGATACATTACAAAACAAAATTATTTTGTTTCTAGAAATCCTGTCAGGTCTGCACTGCTCACATTGCAAATCTCTCATTTTACAGTAGTTCCCTGGGCTGCTCATGTAAGCTGCTGCTTATTCTAAGCATTAAGGGATTCACACTCCAACGCTCTTCAGATTTATAAATTGTGTGTAGCTACAAGAAATTAGTCGCAGGAGTGAACAAAGGCAGCACGAATTCTAATTGTTAATGTCATTTTTTAAATCTTAGTTATCTTCTTTTAGTGTTAGTTATCCGACTGGAGAACTAGACAGACATAGCTGTGCTATTTCTGCTTTTGTGAAGAGTGAACTACTGACAAGCCATGACAAAGAGATACCAAATCTGTAATTACCTGCTCCCATATATCGAACACCACGAGAGACGCCTCTTCTCCATCAACTATAATCGATCTGTCGTACGTATTTCCTACGAGAAAGACAAGTACACAAAAAGCAGTTACTCTCCTGCGTCCCCGACGGGGTGGCCGTAGGGGGATGCCCCGGGAGTTACGGGACCCCCGCTCCGCCCGCAGTCTCACCAGCTTCCTCCGCCTCCGCGCTGTCCTCCACGCCGCCGAAGATGCGCGCCAAGCTGGTCTTGCCGACGCCGTGCTCGCCGAGCAGGATCACTTTGTAGAGGCTGCTGTCGGAGTCGCTGCCCGAGGAGATGACCGAGTCGGAGGAGTCGGAAGCCCAGCTCTCCCGCTGCGCCTCGCCGGGGCTGTACGAAGTGCAGCGCACCAGCCCGGCGACTTCGTCCTCCGGCAGGGCGGCCTGCAGGTCCCGCTCGTCCACCGGCATGCTTCGCCGGTGCAGATGCTGATGCACGGAGAAAGGCATGCTGCAGCGTCGCTTGTCCAGGTAGAGCAGCTTGTCGCCGCGGTTCAGAGTCATAGAGGTGCCGAGCTGAGGCCGGAGAGAAGAGAACTGTCAGCACCCGCCGCCCTGTGCCGAAGAGCCCCTCCGTACCGTTCCGCGGAGCGGCGCTTACCTCAGGGCGCTCGGAGAAGAGGGGGCAGTGAGGGGTTCTTCGCTCTTACCCCTCGTACCGAAGCTCTCTCACCGAGTGCTGCCGCTTCTTCGCCGCGGCTCGTATTTATAGCGCCGACAGACGGCTCGGCCCGCCCCTCCATGACGCGCCCGCGGCACCCTGCCACCGCCAACGGGGGAAGCGGCGCACGCCCACGGCGGGGTGGCTTGGCTCCGGTTGACGCTGCTCGGTCGATATCGGTTCGGCTCGGCTCGGCTCGGTTCCGTTCGTTTCGGCCGAGGCCGACGGGGAGCCGCGGACCGATCTGCCGGTGGCAGCGAAGGGGTGGGCGGTGCGGCTGCCCTCCCATGGGCGCGGAGGAGCCGCCGGGACCGCGGCACGGCCAGGCAGGGCGAGCGCCGATGGGGCAGGCTCGGAGCGCTTCTGGGGGAAGCACCGCCACAGGGATCAGCCCCACTGCCCGCTCCTGCCGACCCGGGGTCCCGCTTCCCTGATGAAGGCAGTATTCCCATGTATGCGGCTTGTTGCCGCTAAACAGCCCTTTGTGAGAGAGCACCTGTTGAAATCAGATAGGTTTCTGAGGCTTGTTAGGCTCTAAGTAACTGACCAGGAGTTTATGTGTCTGCAGTAATGTTAGGGAAAATACTGTCAAATCTGCAGTATTTGTTTCACTTGGTGCTTAACTTTACTCGGTGCTCAGAAGGGAGTTACGAGAAAAGAAGCTGTGCTGCTTCTTGCACTTAACCTTGCCAATGTCTTCACATGCAATGCTAACGATATAAGAGGTCAATATAAAACATATTATACACATAAAGGTCAAATTCTTCTCTTGATTCACCTGAGCAGCAAAGTGAAACAGTGAAAGTCTTATCTCATAAGTGACACAGTCATCACCGTGTGATCGGGTGAAGAAACGACTAACCAGATAACTATACTTGTATTCCGAATGGCTCACCCATGCATCGTGTATACAGTTTGTTGTTTACCTAGCAACGAAATGTGTGAGACATTTTTACAGCCAAAATAACTTTGGCTGCTGCTCCCAACAGATTAGAGCCTGATCAGTATGGGAAAATCCCTGTGACTCTGGGCAGGAGCAGTTGCCACTGAATTCGTGACAGTTTAAGGATTTACAGTTCAGCTGCAGAAACAGTGCTAAAGAAGGCAAGAGGTAGGAATGTGATGGAAATGGAGTTACAGATATAATACAGGATATAGGAATAAAGTAAGGAGAAGAAGAGAGCATGGTATTGGGCTATGGGGTTGCATAGCCAATGAAATACAGCATACCGGCTCAGAAACGTCTTTTTTTCTTACATTAAGCTTCTCAGGCTCCGTAACTGCAACAAAGATAACCATAAAAATGCTTTGAATGGACTGACCACAGGGAATGAATGTTTTTTTTTCCTATGAAATTGAGTGAGTGAATATTCTGTTGGTTTGGGGTTTTGTTCAGGAGCCAGTTACAGTCTTCCAGTCCTGCTCTCGGGGTCCTTTTGACCCTTTTGCCCTGATAACTGCAGTTCGAAGTGTTAATGTGGCAGTTAAAGATCACCAAGTGCTTACAGCAAGTTCTTTCTGCCTGTCTCACAAAAGAGCAACCAAAATAGCCTTGTCAGTTTAAATAGAGTTTGGTGGTGAAATGAAGTGAGTGCTTCCGAACAGGATTATAAAGCTCTGGTTAGCAATTTAGATCATATTTAAGCAAATTATAGTTAGCATTTGAAGTACAACATGGTTACTTGGATAAACTGGAATTTGCCAAACCATCTTGATTAATCTGTATTTATATACTGTTAATTATGTAACTACCATGCAATGGAAGGGTTTGTCGTCAGCTAACTTTTTAAAAATTTGAATGTTTCTGCTTAAAATTCTCACCTGAAGATACTGTGAGTGGGTTTCTGGGTCTGTTGGACCAGTGTTTCTTGAGTGCCTTTACTGTGTGTCAGGGTCAAACTTTAGAAGCTGACACATGAAGTGGGGGTATCCCTATTTCTTTTCTGAAAGAAGGAAAATTGGCAAAGCATCAGAACCAAAGATGCAGAGGGCCCCTTCTGTGCTGACTGGAACCAAACTAAAAATGGGAGTTTCCTGGTGGGACTTCAAGAAGCCATATTCCAGGCCTTTTGTTGGTGAGAATTATGAATATTTTAATGATGTACAGACCTCTTGCTAGCCAAAAAATAACATAAAAAGCATATGTAAAAGTGCTAAATAAAACCATTGAGAGAACAGTGTTTCAGCAGGAAAAGTGATTGAAAATAAAATAATACCTACTAGAAATTGTGCAGAAAATCCAGGACTATGCGACAGGTATTTGTTTGGTGCCAGCAGCCAGGTACAACTAACGAATTAATGGTTATAGAACACCACCATGGTTACGAGATACCACTGAGGATCTGGCACTGGGTTCTGTGAGTTGTCCTTTAATGCAAAGTGAGATGGGTTTGGATTAGGTCTCCAGGGCTTCAGTTGTTCTAGAGGGGTGAGTACAAGCACATAGGAGTGCTGTGCCAAGGTAGATAGGTCTGTTGCTATCTGCCACAGGATTTGTGCCTGGAACGATAGAGAGGCAGATCACAGGGGTCACATAGCTGGTTCATCTCCTCTGATCTTAATAGGTCCAGCTATTTTGTGAAGTTGGAAGGAATTAACAGATAATTCAGGTTAATCACTTGAGACACATAACCTGCTTCTTCACATAGCATGTAATTCTATTTGCTGTTAATTATTGCTATATATTCATGTATACATTACCGTGGCACCTGCTGATTTCAGTGGGGTGCATATGAGACCACCTTGAAATGTTGATCTTTTCATTTCCTTGAAGGATTTTAAGACCATCTCCTTTCTCACCTGCCTTCCATTTCCCCTTATATGTGGCTATTCTTCTAACAGATGGATTAACTCTAATTCATTTCTATTTTTAAAAAGATTTTAATGTCTTGCTTTTCTACTCTTATTTTCTGTTGTCATAGCTTCCATGGTCTAGGGTTTGATTAGATTCAATGAGTGCTTCAGACATGTCCCGTAGACTTGCTGGTTTTAGTAGGCCTAATACACCATTCCTTACATCCTGAAATGGAAATGGGAAATTTTATATTTTGGTTGGATTTTACATGGAGCAAGACCTGGAGTCTCAGTGTGGAGGGTGAAAGTCCTGTGTGGCAGACTGTAACTGCACCGTTATAACAGTGGTACCATCTGCGGTTCTTCAGTCATGGTTGGCCCCTGGGCAGTTCAGGTGCCTGTCCCTGCAATGGCTGTGTCATAACCAGCAGCAGAGCTGCAGCCCAGGGGCTGCTGTCTAACTGCCTGGGCTTAAACCATGACAGTAACCCAGATCCTTGCTGTGAGGAGGTACGGCTTAGCAAAAGTAACAAGCAAATTCTGCTGAGGTCAGGAGTCATTTTTAGTCTGCAGGACCCCAGTCAAGGACATCTTAATCATCAGGGTATTCTGGGATCCTGGCGGAGCCACTGTAACTTCCCATTTGTGAATCAACCCAAAAATTTCCCTTTTGCTTGGCTGCCCAGCCAGCATCTGTGGTGTGTGTCCTGTGGTTGTCATGGAAGATTTTCATCTGAGACTTAGAAGGAAAGGAACACTGATATCCTGTACTGTGTGAAATTGAGCATGAAGCTCTCTAAAAAGGGACTACCTTTTCTCCCCCAGTTTCATTCCATCTGTATATGATTTTCACTTTTGTTCTTTCATACACTCTCCACTTTCCTTTCTTTGTATTTTACTGTTGTACTGTATCTGGTTTCTTTCTTTCTCTCATTCTTTTCTTATGCTGCCTCTCTTTCTTCCCTTTCAGTTTTTCTCTAGCTTTTTAGAAGTGTTGGTGTTCACTTCTAGTGCACTCTTTTGCCGTGAGTACTTTTCATCATATGGGAAATGGTAAATATGCAGTCCAATCCTGTTTTTCCAGTTATTTATTCCTGTGGTAATAAAGCCTGTGCTGGGAGTTTCTTTATGCTATATTACGTGCACAGTGGATTTCACGGTCTAAATGAAAAGCACAGCCATTGCAGGGGCTGCAGTGATAGCTAAGAATGTATAACCGAATACCTAACCTCCTGTCTTTTGAATTTTCAGATAAAAAAATCAGGATTGGGGGGGGTTTAATTAATTTTAGGTGATTCTACCTTATCAGTGTTTGTTCAAGGTCAAATGTCATATTATAAATAGCATTTATATTTTTTAGATCAAAGTAATATTATCACTGAATTCCAGTTTTTGCATTTGCTGCTGTCTTACGCTGGAATTGGTTTGTATTTGATTAGGAGTAATAGAAATATGTCAAACAGCCCAAAGTCTGGATTATCAGCAGTGAGGTTTAAGAGAAATTGTTTTTCTCAGTGGGGCTCCATGCTGGAAGTCGTGGGTTTCTCCTGTACTTACTTTTCAATTAATCTGCACTGCCTCAAGTCTAATTAATCAGCCATTATGTGGATAAAGTTTTTTCTATACAAACTGTAGAGATATCCCTAAAGGTCTGTTCTTGCCAAGTTACATGAAGCATTACTCTTGCAGAGTCTGGCTACCTCCCAAATACCTGGACTAAAACAGAAATAGCAGCATTTATTATTATTTTAATTACAAAACTGACAGACTTGGGGCAGTGGTAGAGGAGACAGAGGCAGGAGTTGGAAATGTTTTGGGGTTTTCTGACCTAGCAAGATCGAACAAACAAACAAGCCAATTTTTTTCCTTATCCTAAAAAAAAAAAAAGGATGTAGTGAAAACGAGTTGTCAATTTGTCCTCACCATCACCCTTAAAATCACAGATTAGTGTGTGCTGAACCAGATACGGGATAATTGGTTCAGTTTGTGGGTGTATATAAACACATATTAGACCTTTTCATGTGTAGCAGGTGGTATATTGCATTGTCTTGCAGTTAATATATAGGGATGCAGAAGTAAGCTGCAGATTGAACTGTAAGTGTAGCTCTAGCAAAGGCTGAATCAATTTCAGCCTTCACACTACCCACCGCCTTTGTGGGAAAGCCTGATAAACGTCACATCCCCACTGAACCTGTGTTTGGAC